ATGGGCATATTCGGAAACGAGCAGCCATGTTGAAGATTAGAAATCACGCTAGTTTGCTGTGTGCTTTCAAGTCAAAGCTCTGCTGCCGATGATAATGCGGCATCGGTTTCATCTAAACTACTTAAGACAGCTTTTTTTTTTTTTTAAATACTTATCTAAAATTTATATACACATTTGTTATACATTAAAATACACATCCAGATTTATATACAAATAGTGAAAGAAGATGTCGGAAAGAAATATATGTTTGTAGTTTTGCTCCTTTGATATTTTTATGGATTTCATGTTTGAAGTAAAAGATAATTAAAACAGCTTGAGGGTTTAAACATTATCCTCGGTTATTTTGATAATGTTTAGATCTGAAAGAGAATTAGGAGAAAAAAGTACCAGAATGATGTAGAACGGTAAAATGTTGCAATATTTCAAAAGATTTTATTTTAGTAAGTTTTAATGAAGTTGACAACTGCGTTTCTTTTTTTTTAATACTGGATTATCTGTTATTTATTACATCATACATGTTTTTCCGTTCTTTTTGTCTGAAGTTCAGTACGTTTAGACATTGAGGTGAAGATCGCTACAGTTTTGAGATAATAATTTCTTTTTTTTTTTATTTGTTTTACAGCTATAATTCTATATTTCTTCATGGATTTATAATGCTTGAAATCGGAGTAGATTACAAAAACAAGATTAAATAATCGGTCTGTTTCGATCATATTTCAACCTGAAGGAAAGAATTTAATAAAACAAAAAACTAAAACAAAAAAAAAAAAAAGAAAACATAAACAAACGAACGCAGTGGAAAAATACATAATGAGTAAAATGTTTCTAACGTTTGCAAAATTTAAAAGAAATTAATAATTGTCTATATTAGTGTTATGAATAATCAAGAGTGGTCTCCCCTTGTTTTGTTACTCTTCTCTTTGAGAGAGCTATTTCTGTTTACTGGGACTATAAAATGACACTACATACGAACCTTGTATTGTATTGAATAAAGCTTTGATTCACAGTTGAATAAAGGTTGGGCAGTTCTTTTCTTGAATCCTTCTGACTATTCAGCCGTGCAACAACGAAAATTCGTAAGAACAGCTTTGTCTCTCGTCCATTTGTAACAGTCTTTTGTTGTATTCTTTTTTGCCTTTGTTGAACGTTATATATGCTGGGGAGGGAACTCACCTCTACAGCAGCCGGTAGCGACATCCCCTTGTGTGTCGGCATGGGCTGCTACGAGGTCAACGAAAAACAGCCCCGAGGACTATGTAGCACTTTGGGAAAAATATGCTCCGTATACTAAGGGGAATTAATTTTTAACGATTCCCGAAGTACTTGACGCAGTAACTACCCGGTCAAACTCGTTTTTAACGCCGGACGTTATAACAAGGTAACTCGTCAGAGTTGGGAGAGAGGCCATGGAGGAGGCTTTAAAAAGCCTTCACATACGTCCCCAAATTCTCGCCAGGAGGTTTAATGCCTTATGGGACATTCTTTTGAATAAAAAGGATGATGCAAAGAAACTGACAGGCAGCGTACTGGCAACAAAATCGCTACGACTGGTCTTGGGCGCCAGCGGCGAATTACCTCACTAAACCTGAGTTTTCGCTTCCCTGGCGATTGATTCGGAACGTGCTATGTCTCAATGACAGGATCTTCAGATGGGGCTGGGCAGATTTGCCCGACTGTCATCAGTGTGGCCTTGGCTTAGAAGAAACGGTTTCACACACCTTCTACCATTCTCCTCAGGTGCGCCCTTTCTGGGATTATGTCGGTGAGTTGACGGCCTGATGTTCTCGTGCTCATCGATCTCGCATACGTGTTCGATAATGTGTCGCCCATGTATTCTGGAGAGAAACGAATGGTGTTTCTCACATTGCTAGCCGTAGTGATTTGGATGTCGCGGATGGAGGAAATCTTGCGATACGAACGTTATTCTCATCAGGCTCTGGTCAGATTCTTTCAGCACTAGCTGAAGGTGAAGATCAGAACTGATAGAAAGCGTTTGATATCGACAGATTTCAGCGAAAGGTGGGTGAAAGTAGCGAGCTTGGCTTGCGTGAAAGCGGCTAAAATTGAGTTCCTTTTTTAAGTCCACTTGATCACAACGGGGCGGTTTCCTGTGATCCCTCTCCCTTGTTAAGCCAAACACTATTTGTTTTCCTGGTTAATGGGAATAAGTGTTGCTCTTAGTCTATTCCTGACTCTCTCTTTTGTTATGATCCATGTCGAGATTCCCAACCTCCCCAGTTTGTTTTTGGACCCCTTTTTCATCTCGGCTGGGTAAAGTTTTGATTTTTCCCATTCCGTCATTTATTTTTACTCTTTTCACTCCATTAGTGAGTGCGCTACTTGATTCTGTCTATCGGCAGAATACAGCAGCAACTTTGATTATTTTGAGGGGTGGACGGATTTTACTAACATCTGTTTTGTTTTAGTTTGCTTTTGTTCCAATCTTAGTTCGTTTCCGGGCTTCATTCCCTCCCCCTCATTTCATGTTTCATGAAATTTTTATATATTTTTGTATTTAGTCATTTTTATATCATGGGGTATTTTTTAGCCCCCCCCACCTGTGAATATGTGGTATTGTGGTATATGTAGGATCGATTGGTGATGAATGAGTCCTTGTCGTAAATGGATCAATTGTATTGGATGAATGTTGTGATCGTGATTAACTAGGACTAGGATAGTTAGCGAAGGCCAGCCTCTCCCCATTTTCCCTTTAGCCATGTGCCACAATTATTGTATACTTTACAATAATAAATAAACAGTTGAATAAAGCTTTCTTAAAGCCTACACCTGCGTACTTTTGTCATTACAATTAGCATATTTTTAATGCAGTTCAAAACAGCTTTTTAATAAACTAGAATTTTTTGTAACACGATTACGCGTGTTGAAATCGTTACTTTGAATATACGCTCTTTAGTGCTAGAGGGCGTCGTCAGTGAAGTTCTGATTTGGCTCATTGGGCAGTTTCGGGCCTTTCAAACTCCATACTCCTCCTCACCAAGTCGACCCCCATCAGAGCTGATCAGTCTTTGATCCGTCCTCCAAAATTAACAATCTGCAAACATAGACTTCTATAAGGGAAACCAAAACCCACTCTCACGCATTTGATTGGAAGTTGACCAACAGCCAGTCACAATGGTGTGAGCTGTATTTAACTTGTTTACGGGGGAATTTTTTCTTTTTTTTGTGGATACTCTGTCATAATATTTAGTATTGTTGAAATTATCGCTAACATTTTTGTCGACATTTACAAACTCTTTGAATAAGCTGATTTGTTTGGAAAAATACTTTAACATAAACCCTACTTCGCGCTTTAATAATTTCTTTAATTTAATTTAATTTTATAGGATTTACAGTAAACAATATTTTTAATGAAAATTTCTTTTTACTTCTCAAGATTTCTTATTCTTGAGCATGCAACATACAACTGGCGATGCGTAAATATTTCTTTCTGGAGCCAAATTCCAACATTCTGAGACGTTTGGCCTTGTGATTTGTTTATAGTTCTCGCAATCGTAGGGTGAACTGAAAACCGGATTCTTGTATATGTAAAGCTTAAAGAAAAAATATGCAAAAAATGCATTTAGTCTAGAAGAATCCTCAACAGAATGCAGAAAGCACTGATTGGCCGTTCCGTTCTATTTTTGGAACTTATCAGCAGTGCGCATCCACTACCGAAAATCGAACCTGGGCAGTAATGATATGACGCAAGCGTCACAACCCACTGGACCAACGGGTCTCGGTAACGGAGAGGTAACAAACCAGATTCGATATAATGCCAAATTCCGTCGTGTGAGTAGACTAATAAGTAGACTCGGAAGAGTCAGACGACGGAATTTGTAAAGATCTGGCGCTATATCGAGTCTGGTTTGTTACCTCTACGTTGGTCCAGTGGATATGACGCTTGCGTCATATCGTAACGGTCCGGGTTCGATTCTCAGTAGTGGATGCGCACTGCTGATGAGTTCCCAAAATAGGACGAAACGGCCGTCCAGTGCTTTCTGTATTCTGTTGAGGATTTTTCTAGACTCGATGAATTAATTATGATTATTCAAATCATCTTCTGTTTGAATGAAATTCAACAAATTGCAGCCATTTTAATTTGAAGTGAATACAAGGCCAAGGAACCATTCAAGGTAGACGATTATTCTGTGGCGTTGTATTAGAGAAAGAAAGGACACGAAGCGAAGTTCTTGGGGTTATCAAGAAAGATAATGGTTAACTCTAGACCTAAAGAGGTCAAGATTGTTGTGACCCGAAAAACAAGAGAATAAACAGATTTTAGAAAGTACCGAAAACCCAGTCCTAAACAGGGAACAAGGGATGAACCTATATTCTTATTCAAAATACCAGGAAGAGTTTAGTTACTGACTTTCTTGAAAAAATACTTTAAATGCTTTAAATTCAAGTATAATTTGCGATACCGCTTTGTAATTTAAAGATCAGATCCCATTTTACACTTTACTCTGCGAATTGATGTATTATTTCACATAATTTGTGTATTAAAACCGTTTTTAGATATGATGAATTAATACATATATTATTCTATAACCACCTTCTGTCCCTTTGTCTGTTTGAAATATGGTTATTTTGAAGCCGGTTTGAGGCGAGAAGTTTTTAAAACTGATTTGCATTATCTGTAGCCAACTTGTATAATTTTGTCTTTCATGAATTATGTTGTTTGGAAAACTAGATGAATAAAACAAAGTGAAGGCTGAATATTATATCTTTGTACTAAAATTCATCCATTACACAACCAAGCGCCACCCAAGGTAGAGGGTTACTGTTAAAATGGTAATGATGAATGAGACGTGTGGTATGCTCCAGTTGAATCAGACGCAGAAAGATGAAAACATGGACCAGATAACAGTCCAAGACATCATGAAATTGTACATAAATATAAAACTAAAACAATAGGGTCTAAAGGCGATACAACGATGAAAAATCGGTTCTTGTACGATCGCCGAAAGGTGCTGTAAGCTTGGACGTGTGGGTGGTATGGTTTACGATCATATCGTGTTGAAACACAGGCTCTCATACGATTACCGAAGATAGCAACTTCGAGCCTGATCATTACCTACATGGGTGACTGCTTGGGAATACCAGGTGCTGTAAGCTTGGACGTGGGGGTGGTATGTCTTACGGCCATATCACGTTGAAACATTGGTACTCGTACAATCATCGAAGATAAGCAACGCCGAGCCTGGTAAGTACCTATATGGGTGACCGCTTGGGAATACCAGATGCTGTAAACTTAGACGTGAGGGTGGTATGGCTTACGGCCATATCACGTTAAAACACAGGTTTTCGTACAATCATCGAAGATAAGCAACGCCAAGCCTGGTAATTACCTATATGGGTGGACGCTTGAGAATTCCAAGTGCTGTAAGCTTGGACGTGTGGTTGGTATGGCTTACGGCCATATCTCGTTAAAACACCGGTTCTCGTACGATCACTGATTTTAATTTAAGTCGACGACGCTTAAATTTGGTAAAAATACGAGAACCAGTGTTTCACCGTGATATATCCGGAAGTCCCCAAATATCTCTGGGCCGATGATGTGTGTCTGAAAATGGCGGCTAGAAGGTAATCTCTCAGGTTAACAATGCAGACTTATCTGAAACAATCTGAGTGCAAAGTCTATTCTTGCATGATCTGGATTGAAACAACGTCTACATCTGTCTTCCTGGTAAAAAATTAACATTCGATTATTTATATCGCCAGGTGTTAAATTTTAGTAGAACTTAGTAAATGTTATTTTTTAAATCGTTTAGGTTAATTTTCTTATTTGCATAACAAACGTAACACGATGCTTAGTGATTTACTGAATTTTTATTTTTAAGAAAATGATTTTTCCTATCTATAAAACATCAGGTAGAAAGCATAGAATAAATCTGATAAATTTTCACGACTGACATAACATATTGAAAGCAAGAGGGACCGAAGAAAGCAGCGCGTATCCTTCCTAACAAGGTTGCATAAATGGATGACAGAAAATGGATTAGGCGAGATTAAGATCTACAAAGGATAGGAAATCGGGGAGAGCTATAGTCAATGAAGGGACAGGGCAAGTAGGAGAATATTAAAGCTGTATAAAAACAAGAAAATGAAAAGAAAAAAGAAAAGAAAAAAAAGAAAGAAAGAAAAAGAAAAGAAAAAAGGTAAAATGAAAAAAAAGAAAGAGAAAAGCAAAGAAAGAACGAACAAAAGAAAAGGAAGAAGAAAAGAATGAAAGAAGGAAAAAGAAATAAAAAAGAAAAGAAAGAGAAAAGAAAGGGAAAAGGAAAGAAAGAACAAAAGAAAAGGAAAGAAAAAGAAAAGGTTAAAGGAAAAGAAAGAAAGAGAAAAAGAAAGAACAAATAAAAGAAAAAAAGAAGGAAAAGAAAGAAATAAAAAAAAGAAAGCTAACAGAAGCAATTGAGCAAGATGACGAGTTTCTGCATCTCAGAAATAAATGATCACTTGAAATTTTAATGCTTCCTTAAAGCAGACGATAACACTATTTATATGAGGAAGATGTCTTTTTGTTATTTTTTCTGGAAAGGTTAGCCTGAGGTGGTTTTGGCTAAAGGCTATTAAGCTGCTTATAAGGAAATGAAAATAAAAAAAAATGAAAACTATCAAAGCTAGTGAAAATGGCGGAAACGTTTCCTCAGCATTATCTTTTATTTTTTTATATTTTATCTTTAGTGTTTACATTTTTGTTCTTTCTGTTTTACTCACAAAATCAGTGGACTGCCAATTAATCGTACGTTAATTGGTTTTATGTTCTAGCTTCCATATGTTGTGTTAGGAATTTTATTGCCGAGGTATTTGCTGTGTTTATGACAGTAAAATTTCAGCCATCCAACATAGAGACGTTCTCTTATAGAGTGTAGGTGTGTACCCAGATGGGTTATGAGTTGAAGAACTTGGTTAGTCGTCATTATGGAAAAAAATGGATGGTTGTCGGAAGAGTTCAACATACAAATTACAAATTGCAGTTACCAAAATCAAACAAGTATAAAAATTTTTTTTAAATATCTGAGAAGTCTTTTAAGAGAGGATGAAAATGACACTGAAATCCGAAGGCGCATTGGGATAGCCAAAGATGCATTACAAAAGCTAAGAAGATTATTAAGAAAGAAACATTTCGTTAGAAACAAAGAAAAGTGTACTGAACTGTTACGTGATCTCAGTCCTCCCATATGGCAGGGAATGCTGAACATGAAGAAGAGACTTGAAGCAACAAAAATCTGGTTCTAGAGAAGGATGCTTAGAGTACCATGGACCGAACATGTGAGCAACGATGAAGTTTTAATGAAAATAGAGAGAATGAAAATTTATAGAGGGCTTGAAAAACTGATACTCACAAGACAGATTAAAGGCAAGAGAGAAAGAGGAAAACAACACAAACTATTTAATGGGCTTGAGTGAATGAATGGCAGAATAAGTTTTAGGAGAGATAACAAAAAGATGCCAACGTCCTGAAAGGACACGGCATATAGAAGTAATTTGACGCTCAAGTTATAGAGCTATATATTTTATGAAAAAAAAATGATAAAGTTTTTGTGTCGCCCTTTAGGACTTAATTGCACGAAATGCGTCACACGAAAGTTTTTTGGATATATAAAAAAGTTATATCGTTTCCCCATAGCCATAAATCAAATGTTAAATAGTCGCGATCATGTGACTTTTGAAAAGGGTTGTCTTAACAATTAATCCAAGCTAAAGTTTTGGCGTTTCGCTAATTCCTATAAAGCCAATAATACTTTGTGTTAAGGTTCCCTTAAGATTAAGATATTATTTTAATTTTCAAAACTTCTGGTTTTCTTAGTATTAGCCTGCTTTGTATGATCGCAAGAGAATTGCAAATGGTTGCTATCGAGACAGTAACAATATCGCTCATCTGCTAAGAAGCCTGCCACGCTTTCAAAAGTAGTTTTCGTATAAATAGATTACTTTCTCTGTATTAGTACCAAGCCAAGAACAATAATTTATATAAGTCATATCAGACGTTCCTATTGGAGAACTGTCCAATAAAAATAGCTTGATAATCAGCAATTTTCTAAATTTCATTGCACACTGGCTTTCTATTGGACAGTTCTACGACTCAAATTTGACAATTTTGATAGCAATATAAAGATATAAAATAAATAACCTATATATACGACAGTGTTGAAAATTCACGGCCTAAGCCAGTTCCATAAAAATCCAAATTTCTTTTTGCAGGATCAAAAAGATGAGAAGGGATGTTTTAGATGCTTTTAACTGCGGGATTGATTAGTCGGTATGTTTCATTAATGGAGGTCATTCCCTTCTTAAGCCGGGAACTTTTCAGCTTATTCCATTATATAATTATATATATATATATATATATATATATATATATATATAAACACACATACTAATAATAATTTCACCCCAATGAAAGGCGGTAATAACATTAAGACACAAGGGGTTACTGGGAGTGAAAGAGAATGAGAAGACTAGTGTGAAGTGAAGAAAGGACTATAAATGAACCGGTTTTAGAGACAGAAGATAGCGATTGGCGTTTCATTTACACACACACACACACACACACACACACACACACACACACACACATATATATATAATCTCAGATTAAATAATTAGAAAAAATAAAAGCAGTCAGGCGCACAAGCAGCAAGTTTCGCTTTAATTGGTTTCTCGGGCTGTACAAGAAAAGTGAAATAACTTGCGTCTGAACCTGTTTTTCTTTTTTTTATCGCTTGTTCTTTAATCTGTTATTTATATGCTTTATAATTTGATTAAATTCATATAAAGACCTTTAATATGTAGTGGACCGTGGCTGTGATGTTGTGGAGTCAGACGTAGAATAAACACATGTGGGTTCAGATTTTCCTGCTAGCCGGTCCAACTACATGAAAAGATTGGACTATTAATTAAGTCCAAAGAATGCAAAGAAAAACAAAACACAAGACCGATAATATATGTATACAAATATATATATTAATAACAAGTTACATGGAAACAGTTACAAGGGACAAAGTGTGTGTGTGTGAATATTATATATGTGCATGTGTGTGTGTGTATGTGCTTAGCGTGTTCCCAGCATTTTGGGAAACGCTATCTCTGTGAGTGTTCACATCTTCGAGGTGGTAAGGCTGGAAGCCTGAGGAAAAAGAGAGATTTACCTCCAGGTGTCGGCGCAAAGGCCTGAGGAAAAAAAGAGAAAAAGGCGAAGGGTCAGCGGCTATTTATAGCCAGGGAAGAGAGTTAACGAATTAAAGGAGGAGTTAACTCCGACGAGACCCCTGGTGAAAGGGTTAACGAACTAAAGGAGAAGTTAACTCCGACAAGTATGCCCGTAAAAATATATTTTGGGTAATCTGATTGGCCCCTTCTATTCCTATAATTTGAGTTATATAAAAGCTCTGTTATTTTATATGGTGTTGAGCACTTTATTTTCCCCGTGTACATTCACGGCAGTCTCTTTTTAAGAGCTGCTTATTCCTATTAATATTACAAAGCTCTGCCGTGTTTGTCTTTGTGGGTCCGGTTCTGTTGAGCACTATTTTTTGCTTGAAAGCCTTAGGCTCATGGACCGCGAGTGCATTGTACACTTTTTTTGCCGTCTTGGCAAGATATTTTTGCTTTTGTGTGTGTGTGTGTGTGGGGGGTATAATTGTGTGTTTACAGCTTTATTTGATCTTGGCCGGATGGATGTTCCCCTCCGCCAGGTGAGTTGGGTTGGTGTATGTATGGTGTGCATGCACCGTCCATATTTTTTTAGATTTTAGTCTTGCCTGGGGGAATAAAGGTTCCCATTTTCACACTACAGCTGTCGACCGCCTGACTATTGCGTAAAATCACGAAACCTACAGTCGTAGCCGGCTTATTTCTATTAATACATATATCATCATCAGCCACATGTGGTTGTAGCTGAGCACTTGGCTTGTTCCTTCTATATATCTGAGTATTCCTTCGTGCGCATCGTGACCTGGCCTAAATCACAACTCTCCAAATTAAATCACAAGCAATTTCCTCGAACTTGAAGACACGTCTTAGTCACGAGCACGTGACGAATGATTAAATCGTTGACTTCCATCTAGTAAGGTCACACAGGCCTGCATCCATAACTATGGAGTCAAGTCTATCGCATTGTACTAGGTGACCACCCTTTGAGAGATCGTTTTTAATCTTGTTTTGTGCCGTGCCACCATCCACACAGAAAATCCTGGTGGGGGAAACAGTTTAGTTGCCGATAACCCAACCATACGGCAGGTATTTCTGGTAGAATGACCTTTATATAGATATATTTTTGCAATCAATACAGTCATTCTTGTCGAAGTTCTCGATGAGTGATTCAAATATTAGGAAACACTGTGTTAACATTCGTTAAATATTGAACGTTTAATATATATATATATATATATATATATATATATATATATATATATATGGGGTAAATGTATGACTACATCTGTTATGTTGGTGCGACTACACATACACACGAACGAGGGATGCTGGGAATTTAAAAATTTTATTTATTTTTTTTTAAAATCTAGCCGATTCCATTTAGATTCTTTTTCTTTCCATCACTTTATCATACATTTTCCCCAATACTGTTCTTGATATATATATATATATTTATGTGTGTATGTATGTTTTAATTTTGAAATATCAAGTTATTGAAAATGAGCGAAAGAAATGTCATTGATGTTTTAGGCCAATTGGCGTCGCATGATCTTTTAGGAACGTTTTGCTGGATGTCATTTTACCAGTGTGGTGATTATGACCCTCACTGGATGTCACCCACTGTTGCGGTTTGCTATCAGACTAAGTAAAACTTTGTAAACAATTGCGTACTTGGCGTGGATTATGGATGAAAGTGTTACATATTTTCTGCTGATTCTTGGAGTCGGAGTTCGAGCCCGGCTTGAAAATCTTCCAATCTTGTTCGAAAACACGAAGTGTATAACCCCGAAGCACCTACACAACATTTTGCCCTGTGCTTCCCAGTTAAATGTGAAGTCGTGATTTACAGTTCCGCTCGCAAATTCTCAGTATCACATGACAGCGGTACAAATAAGTCACGTGGTGGTCCTTTTCTCGTTATTTTGCGACTGTATCGATTTTGAAAGCCGTAATATTTGGAGCCTCAACGACAGATGTTGGCAAGTTGTTCCAATTCTTAATGAAAATCGGTAGGCAGTCCCAGATTTATTTAACAGCGACCTGCCACCATTGAACGAAAATCCGTATATGCACTGGAGATTTCATGGATGAAGCAACAGTGGGGAGCCCTGGGCTAGTTTGAAAAAAACAAAAAACAAAAACAAAAACCGTTTAAATAGCTGTAACTTCTGATTAAATTAATTCATCAAAACGCAAATATGGCTAAAAGTTACTAGGGAAAAATACTTCCATTGAATGGATTGTTTAAATTCCAAACATTATTCTAGATATCATGTGCTTTTAGAACGTGCACGATTATGGCTCTTCACAGTTACCTGTCCTTTGTCGCTCTTAGTAAAGTTTGTCTTTTCGGTATATCTCCTAATCCCTATTCTAACAATGATTTCCACAAGACTATTAGGTAGATTATACGTTGCTTTCCTCTACCCCTCCAGTTAATTTTATTATCATTTAAATATTCGGAAATGTATACTAACTTACCTATCGTTGGGGTAAGTGGGCCGAATTTGATCGGACAAGTTAGTTTTCTTTCTGGTAGATAAATGTGCTAAATACATTTTTATAATTGAGAAATATACAATTTTGAGCCAGATAGATGTATTAACAGTAATAGGAAATGTATTTGAATAAAAAAGTTAAAATTTTCAAATATAGTGACCACAAAGTTTAACAAGTAAAACATATGAGTGGATGCTAAATAATAATGCAATAAGGAGGAAGATGATGGAGAAAAATGACGACACCAAACTGAACTTTGACATTCCTCCTCTAATAACATGTAAACAGATATCGAAACATCAGTAGAAAATCTTATCTACCAAAGAACAAATTATTAGTTGGATTCCTTATGCTAGAAAATATTCAAACGTCAAAGAAATATAATTCTGATAAGCAAAGTAATCCCTCTTTTCTGAAATGAACTCAGCATGTGCCCATATCTGACAGTAAGCATACTTTACCCATTTATTTTATGTCAGGTAATTCTACATATGCTTCTGGTACCAGTCCTGGGTATGACAGTAGAGATTTTCCAAGCGTAGCTTAGATGTGACACAAGGCCGAAAGTATGGGGCACCCAGTAAGGATCGAACTCACTACTCATTGCGCTAGCGAGACAAGCTTGCTAACCATTACACCGCCTCGGGGTGCCCCTGGGTATGACAGTATGTCTAGCCACACTGATGAGCTGCGAAACAGTCTGTCTGTGGATGACAATTATTTTTATATAGTAAAATGACCAATGATACTTATTTATAGTAAAATGACCAATGATACTTATTTATAGTAAAATGACCAACAATACATTTTTAAAGCAAAATAACCAACAATACATTTTATAGTAAAATTACCAACAGTACATTCTATGACAAAATGGCCAACAATACATTTTATCTGTAATTGAAGATATGCAATTGCGTTCAAAATATATTTAATTCAAGCCAAAAAATCGCTTTCAAAACATTTAGATTTCGAGATTAAATAACCCATAGAGGTGTTGTTATGCTGCTAAACAAAATCAACTAACTATTGGTACCATGTAGGCCGATATTACTTGCTGCATGATCGGGTCATCAGAGACTAAACCAGTTCCCTCATTAAGATTTTCTAATGGGGTAGGGGGATCGACACCCAACAGGATATAAAAAGAAAACAAAGTCTTGCAGTGACAGCGGCCATCTTGCACAATAGAGAAGACCAGTAACTAGATGGATGACTGCTTCGGAATACCAGGTGATATAAGCTCGGGTGTGCTGGTGGTGTAATGAATAACGGCTCGGAATTGAAAATTGGAGAGCAGAGTTCAAATTCCTGTTGGGTTCGTTATATTCACCTACATGCAAATACCCTTGGGAAAACAATTAATCTACCTCTGCTTCCCTAACTATAGGTTAGTTAGTAGGACTTGTATCAGTAAATTGTTATTACAATCTAAAAGTATTTTTTGGCTTTAAATGGTAATTTAAATTTGATAAGTTGTTAAAAAGCAAATTAATCACTCAATCAAACTGTGATCTGAATCAGCTTTTCAATTTTTTCTTCATATTACTATAAATTTTCTTCATATTACTATGAAGTACTCCAGACCACGAATATGAGATTTAAAAAAAAAATGTTTTAGAAAAATTAATGGTGGGGTTCAATTTGTAAATTGACCCCACTACGTTAGCGAAAATAAAATTTGTGATTTCCTAAAATACAAAATGTTTTTAATGAAGTATCGTAATCTGAAGTGCTTTTTTTCATGTATTCCTAGGAATTAAATATTCTAGATTATGAATTACATTTTTACGCATATTTTTTTAAAGTAATTAATGGTTTTAGTGATACAAGTCTTACTAATTAACCTATAGTTGGGGGAGAAGAAGTGGATTTATATTTTTCCCAAGGTTATTTGCACGTAAGTGGCTATAACGAACCTAACTAGAATTGGAACTCGACTCTCCGATTAACAACTCCAAACCATCATCCATTACACCACCTGCACATCCAAGCTTACAGTATCTGGTATTCCTAAGCGATCGCCCATTTCGGTATTGACCAGGCTCGACCTTGCTTAACTTTGGTGATCGTACGGAAACCGGCGTTTCAACGTTATGTGGCCCTAAGCCCGTAGTGGGGGATTGATTTACAATTAATCTACACGGCAAAGTAGACCCCCTATGAACTTTTATAATATTTAATAATAAAGGTAAATGCAGATGTGCTATTCGCAGTCTGGAATGGTTAATTTTTAGCAATATGAGAATATTTGGAAAAAATGTTCTAGTCACAGTGCTAATTGTACAACTTCACCGTTTTATGAATTCTCGAAAGAATTCTTTTGTCTTTTATCCAGATGGGTCACTTCTCTAAAACGATTAAATTGGCTCATTCAGTATTCCTTTCTTTGAAATACCAGCAAGAGAAGAACAAGAGTACCAATGACAAAACAGCAGCACATAATTCGCTACACTTAACAAAAGTAAGAAATCCAAATTGTTTGCTTCCTTTCACAGCAATTCTCAGTTTCTGAACAGTTGTAATTTACGTCACAGTTCCATATATCGGCTGCTTGAAACAAAGCTGTCAATGACAGAAAATTTAGTGAAGAAATGAAGAACATTAACTGAGTTTTAACTTGCAGTCAGAGCCAAGCCCGTTGGTTCAGGCACACCCATAGATAAATTTGAATGACGTAGCAGCAGACACGTCTGAACCTACACATCGTTTTCTTCCCATGACGTGGGGCTTCAATCAAAAACGTTTTGGCACTCTAAAGGGCGAAAATATATTTATTTTGGTGATATGCCAAATATATGCTTTGATTCCGTAAGGAGGTAGATTTTAAAAAAAATTCTTCCTTTGGTTTCTCGGTGAAAAAAACTTTACGCGTTTTAATGTAGCCAACAGTAATTTACCCCACCTTGTTTCTTTTAAATTTACATACTCAGTATACTGAAGGCTATCTTAGTTTCAGTTACTCCCGATTCGAGAATTCCGTTTTCATGCAACACTGAAGCTACTGATTTTATTACGTCATCAAGTGTATGAGGACCATCGGGACTTTTCCATTTATAGGTTCGAACAATGTTTGAAATATCAGAAGAAAAAAAACGAATATGTAACATAAGATGTCAGTAATGGAACAGTAGGGCAAGTCGATTTTGGAACCGCCGGATTACACTCAATTTGAAAGTTGGGGTTTTACATGATAAATAGTGACACAAAATATTTTTTCAAAATCGTTACCGTTTTTTTTCTAGGAAACTAATTTAAAAGATTAAGTTTAGGTTCAAAATTGGAACGTTGGAATTTCATTCCGGTGATCAGTGAAAGCCTTATCGCAAGGCCTTATATAAAATTTATAATTTACTTAAGATTTTCAAATTTTATATGGACAAGATGCATGGCACAAGCATATTACTAAATCATTGTGTCATCAAATATGGCCTTCATTACTTCAAAGGGAAATTATACTGTACAATTTAGCTATATAATTATGTAATATATTATACAGTGCATTAGTCTTAGTGCGATTTTCAATAAACAATGCAAATTTAAAACATTTTGTCGTATAGTTTGTGCCCAGAAGTATTATGTTATATAAACCTTTAATGTTTTTTTTTGTTTTTATTATGATCTCACACATGTTAATCATTCAGTAACCTTTTTTGTGATTCTTTACAGTTTTTTTTTTAGTTTTTACTTATCGAATACAGTAAAGAAATTGCATAATTTGCTTGTGGTGACTCATAATTAGAATTCAAGTTTGAATACATATTTTAATTCAATGTATCTAATGCAAAAACATCAACTTTTTTTGGATTTATTCTTGAAATAACTAAAATTTTGAAGTCAGGTTGTAAGCAAACCTGCGGAAATTAGGTATTTCTGTAAATTTTTCAGACGATATTTAAAGCTAAATGCTCAAAAATTGGTAAAAGCTATGAATTATGGGTTATGGTGGCGTTACTTATCATATTAAATTCCAGCTTTTGCACTGAGTGCAATGATGATTTGCTAAAAGAAGGGAAAAATCAACCTGTCCTGACGGAACAGTACCTACGGGTGTAAATTCGAAAGCCTAGGACGATTAAATAATAAAATGTTTTCCTCAACATCAACAAAGCAAATGTAAACATATAATGATTGCCCCTTCCCCACTAAAAAACCAGAATCTGTAATGTTATCGGCCCTGACCTGGCATCTCGGCTTCAGTTGTTTTCCCACTGTATTATTTAGTTAGAAATTACGGAAAACAATCTCAATGTTAATGATAAGCATTATTTATAAACTTTCTATGAGTAAGATGTGTAGCATTGAAGCTTAGACAAGACCTCAGGTTCGTTGACAGGGAGCAACTTCTTCCAGTCAAACCATTGTGGCTTGAAAATAACCCTTCGGCCAGATCGTTACCAACGAATGAAAACCATGACAATTTCTAGCAGGGTACTAGATTTTATTCTCGGGTTGTAACCTACTGCTATAGACGAGCGAAACCGAAATGAGGCATAGGTGAGGGGGGAGGTGAACAGTCTAACGGGCGTCTTTCCTTACACTCGTCCTCCGTGCCCCCCCTCAGTCTATCTGACTTTTTCGCGGTAAGTGGCCACTGTCTTATAGAGAACTTTGTCTTGTCATCTTTGTCTACAAAAGTAATTTATCGCCATTAAGTGTCTTCTCTTTGTGAGGGACGGTTGAAGTATACTTGTGAAGACCACTTCATTTACTGAAAACCACCTGGAAAAAATAAATGTCCGAATCTATTTTTTGACAGGTCAGCTGTTTTCCATTTAATCAGATATTGATATCACTACAGATGTAGTTCACTCCTAGTTTGAAAATGGTGTTGAAATTTCCAAGTTGGGATTCAGTGGCTGTCAATTGCTTTTAGCACTAATTTTGTGATCTGCAAATCCATTTTTCCAATACAGATGGTATTAACTTTTAATTTGAATGAGGAAATGTTTGCTTTCGTTTTGTGTACAATGTGAATCGATCATCGAAATAATATCTATGATTATTTGAAAGGCATAAGCCTTTCCCTAGTGTTTAAAAAAATGGTACTCAATGTCAATATGTGAGTTTAAATATCACTGGAAAGATCAAAGCAGTTTCTTTCAAAATAAGAATCATTTGTCACATTCCAATCAATGAACTAAGGATAAAATACATTGATCCACCATTGATTCGGATCCAAAGTAGATACATTCAACTTATATATATTTTGCTACGTTAGTTCAATACCTATTAAAAAAATGGATGTCATTTGGTGAAAACAGCAAATCATTATGAACACGTACATTCCCAGGATTCTTTGTGTGTGTGTGTGTGTCTTTTCGTGGTTATTCATGGATTAAACCATAGAGGGAGATATGCTGTTAAAATAAAATCAACCAGCTAACAATATTCTTACGAAAAAAGGTTTCGGCTTTAAGTAATCCACAAAGATTTGATAAGCCGTAAATCAATCCACAATCTTTCTTCTCTTTTTATTCTTCTCTCTTCCCACTTTATTCTCCTCTCTTTCCACTTTATTTTCCTCCCTTCCCTCTTTATTCTTCTCTCTTCCGTCTTTATTCTCCTCTATTCCCTCTTTATTCTCCCACTTCTCACTTTATTCTCCCCTCTTTATTCTACTCTCTTCCCTCTTTATTCATTTGACGTGTTTTAAATATTTTCAGCAGTCATTTTACTATTGGTTAAATTGTAACGACCAATCTCATTGGTCGAATTTGACTGTTTTTCGCGGGCATTTTTTTCAACGGCCCGTGCCCTTTTGAGTCAGTTGCTGCAAAATATTGGAAATGTCAGAACTCATTTTTGAATCTCTTTGAAAGGGCCTTTAGCGCCCAAAATCAAGCCTAAATAATTAGGCAATGATTCTTCTTCATCAACCAAAATGGTAATGCTCCTGAGACGACGTCATGTTCCAGCTTCTTCAATACTTTCAAGGCTGTATAATTCAGTCATTTATTGACTGTCGTCAAATGTGTACGTTCAACACGAAGAACTTTCTGCATGATCTCGACAATAGCCGAGTTTCAACTTCAGCAACCGAAATGGTAATGCTCCAGCAACGACCAGCAAGTTCCTGCTTCTCCAACTTCGTAGAGACCAATTGAGTCCTACAGAAGGAAAAGTCACTACATATTCTTTGAAGAAACTACCCCACCTTGTTCACAGGGGCAAAAAGAGCATAATCTTTTTTTGCAAGGATGCAATAAAATTTGTTTTAAGTTTTAAGGTAGGCCTTGTTGATTGTATGTCTTTTCTTGTCTCTGCCAAAGGTTGAACTGTGTGAGAAGAAATTCTCACAATAAAAAGTAATAAAGAATGAAAGAATGTCAAATTTTGTTTTCGATATTTGAAATAAGTTTAATGCATCAATATTTAAAAAATATATATAAGTAACTCAAGGAAATAATTACAAACATTCGAAAATAAAACTGGAGTCAGAATTCTAAAGCTAATTTTATTTAAATATTTCAGTAGAATTATTTACATTATTTACCGTCGAATTAATTCATCTTCGATGTTACGAAGATACACGTACCACACTCTCTTGTAGGTTAACTGTTTCATATCGAAACTTATCCTAAGAGAGCTGGAGACTATACTAGGATTTATTATCGGTGGGTTTAATCTTAATATAAGATACGCAGATAACACTCTGTTGGTGACTGACACGGAAAGAAAACTACAGGACATCCTAGATAGGGTAGAAAATGAAAGCGAAAAAAGGACTAACGATCAACTGCAAGAAGACAGAAAAAAGGATGCGAGTTACAAATTAGAAATGTCAACATCAAGCAAGTACAAAATTTTAAATATCTTGAAAATGTTTTAACAGTGGATAGAAAATGCATTCCAAAATCTAAGAAAAGTGCTGAGAGACAAAAAACCAAAAAAAAAAAAAAAAAAAACACAACTCCCCCCACAAAAAAAACAATTTCGTTAAAAACAAAGAATAGAGTGCTGGATTACTATGTGATATTCACTCTCTTATATAGCAGTGAATGCTGTACAATCTTCCCACGGATGAAGAGAAAACTAGAAGCAACAGAAATATGGTTCAGTATCTGTTTATATTTCTGAGATGAGGTATTATGT